TTAACATAAATGGCAAGAGCCCAAACAACCTTTATTTTTCTTTCTTCCGAATAATTATTGAATTATGTAGGGTGATTATAAGATATCATATATTCTTAATATTTCTTAACTATTAATAACATACATATACCTTATAAACGCAATTGCTCAAATCAAGATATGAAGATCTCATAAAATAACAATACCTTTTGTAACCACTAAACCACTCAAAGCGTTCTACTGTGTATAATTGTTAACTACACCAAAACATAAGGTGCTTTCATATTCATTTATATGTGCATCAATAGCTTCGTTAATGTTTGAAATATTATTATCAAAACACAATTATTTATTGGAAAGTAATGGGATAAAGAATATTAATATGTCGACTACATTCCAACACATTAGACAAATGAATGATTTATTTATTTAATTTCTTAGTTCTTCAATAATTTACCATTTATTTTATTCCTTTGATTTTATATTAAATATTACTCATATCTGAGCAAGAAAGAGAAGATATATTCTCTTTAACTTGTTTATAATTTCGATCTAGAGATCATTTGTTCGGCCACCTAATACCTAATCCCAATACTAATATTTGGAATTAATTAATAAAGACCAAAAAATACTTTAATAGTGAACATTTTCTCCTTTATTTATTTTTTAATTTTGTTTTCAATAATAAAATGTTTATTTTTATTAAATAACGTGTATATAACATTTTTCTTAAAATTATATTCCTATTATTTGAAATTAATTGACTGGTTATAGTAATATTAGATAACGTGCACGCAGGCTTTTCATGGTTATATTAAGTTTTATTTTTTTAGAAAATAATAAAATTTATATGAGAGTGTTAAGAGCAGGACTAGTGAAACTGCCAGATGCCTGGCCATGGAATTAAAGAAGAAAAAACAGAAGAAAGAAAAATAAAAACAAATGGACAATAAAGGAGACAAAACCTAATGTTCTACAACTCATGACTGCCCTTAGGGATGGCAACTCAACCCGAACCCGACGGGTTCCGACTCGATTCGATTCGATCGGGTCGGATTTTTTTTTAAAAAAAATGCGAATTTGGGTCGGGTCGGATTTAGGGTGAAAAAAATTCGACTCGATCCGACCCAAAAAATATATATAATTTTACCTATATATTTAGGGATAATTACAATATTATCCCTCTATATATAATTTTTTTCAATTAAGTCACTATTTTTATTGAATAAAAATATTTTTTAAATTATTTCGGGTCGGGTTTCTAAGTCATATATTCGGGTCGAGTCGAGTCGGATAAAACCTTAATTTCTTCGGGTCGGGTCGGGTCACGGTGGAGGACCCTTTCTTCTCGGGTCGGGTCGGGTGACCCAAAAACCCAACCGGACCCATTGCCATCCCTAACTGCCCCCATGCAAGACAGTTTCTGATAATTCAGAAAGAAAGCAAAAAATTACAAACTCCGAAAAACAGTAAATCAAAGAACGCGCACTTATCAATGAGTAAATATGGTTACTATATTTTACGTGCCTTTTCAATGAAAAGCCCAACTTCTTCCAAACAATCGGTTTTATTTCTGTCTGAATCAGAATTCAGAACCCAAGGAGCTTACTTGTTGTTGCTGCGGCTGTTGGTGAGTGAATCCCCTTATCCCGCTCTATTTGCGGCTTTTCCATATAATTCTCATCAAGGATTTAAATTTTGCATTGTTGAGCTGAGTGCAGCCTTTTCTTGTTCCAAATTCACTCCTCCAGCTTGCCATGGAGTGCATGTAAATTTCTTTTTCGGGTTTACTTCCATTGAATTAGGAATTTAAACTGGGGTTGTTGTTGTGTTTTCAGTTGTATTATGATTGCGTACATAATGACTGTTACTGCCATCATTGTGGAGTCGTACATTGAGAGTTTCGAACGATACCAGTACTACTCTATGACGACCGTTATTCTAATAACGAACCACTGTTTAAATCCATGTATGGAATAGCTGCCGTAGTTGATGTAATTTTTGTTGATGTTAGTGGTGATTTTAGATGGATTTTTGTGGGGATTTGGAGTAGCATGTTATTGTTTTGAATGGATGAGCAAAAGAGACAAGGGACATTATTGCTGCTGCTTTTATGTGTTTGTTGTACTGTTTTGCAAATATCAGGTGCCTGCATTATTCTTTGGAGCGATTTGTTGTTCCCCAACAAATCTTCTTTCATTTTAAATCGCTTTCGGTAATATCATTTTAAAAGTTCAAATTTGAACTCTTTTCCGACTATATTTTTTCTCATAACTTACCAATTGGTGACACAAAAGAAGAGTGCATGCCGAATTTGTAGTCATAATCAAACCACGTAACAATGATTATTTGTGTATTTCCTTCAAGGTATTCCATTAAAAATGTAGAGTATATGGAATTTTAAAACACCAACGACGTAATTAGGGTTTAGCAAAACATAAAAGGGTAAATTGTGTATATTTTTTAATTAAACTATCGGTTTTGACCGTTTTAGTATCTAAATTTTTTATTTTTTAAAATTATTCTTAAACTTTAGTTTTTGTTTCATTTTAGTACTCCACTGTTAAAAACTTTAATTTTTTTGCTTTATTTTATTATCCCGTTCAAAATTTAACGTTAAGTTTTGAAATTTTGAAAGTTTATTTATTAAAACGGGTCAAAACTGATAGTTTATGTACTAAATGCATTAAGTTTTTAAAGGCATATACTAAAATGAAATGAAAATGTTAGGGATGATTTTGAAAAAAACTAAAAGTTTAAATACTAAAACTGATAGTTCAGATATTAAATATGTAGTTTACCCAATATAAAATTGATTTTGAGAGTTATAAAAAATGTAGGCCTCATATCGGTTTGGGCCAGTGCCATCAAAGGTGTTTGTAGACCAACTGAGCTTAACAAACTGTTTTTTTTTTTACAATAAGGCGAATATTTTAATTATTTAGCTCATAGAGCACGTTGAAGTTTATTTGGGATCAACAATATTTTTTATAGTGTTCAAGAAATTTGACACGTCAAGGTGAAGAGTTTAAATAAAATATATTTTTATTAATTTTTATTATATTCAGATAAAAATTTTGAATAAAAAATATTTTTTTATTAAAACTCGTCATCTCAGTATGATAAGTTTTAAATCACTGTAAAAAATATCGTAAATCATTAAATAAATTACTAAAAACGTCCAAACTAACTTTTATTATACGACCTAATCATCTGACTAGCATCAGTTTAACATTTTCTCTGCTCATACATAACATCCCAAATTTCTAACACCTAAAAATTTATTCGAACACGAACCAAAAGATTTCGATGATAAAAAAATTATTGTTGTTCTTTGAGATTTTGGATTCAAGTACCATGAATGTTAAGGGTGTGAGCGTTCAATGTCAAATGGTTGAGAATTATATTTAAATAAATAATACCTTGTACTTACTCCAGATTAATAAGATTACTGAAAATCGAAAAATATCTATAATTTAAAATTTTCTTGTTTTAATAGTTTAATTAAATTTTCATTAAATGAATAATTTTGATAATAATAAATGATAATATCAATAAATGACTAAAACGAATTGAATAAGAATTACAAGTTTTTTTTATGCGAAGTGATTAGAATAAGAACAAGTTTAATCAACAATCGGTTGGTTTAGCTGGATGAGTCAATAGATCCCTCAAAGCAAGATTAGGAGTTAAAATTTTGATATTTGCGAATGTAACAAACTGGGTTGGAAGGATTTACCCAAATGTACATTTGTAAAATCCGATCCGGAATAGACAATCAATAGATTGGATACTGACGGTTAAACAAAATAAAAAATAAGAAGTTTAATGACTAAACTATAAAAAAAGAGTAAAGGTGAATGGATTACATGTCAATTACTCCAAAATGCTTTGAAAGGATAATTATGGGAAAAGAAGGGTAGGTGTCGAGGCTTTAAGATATAGAGAATGGCGAATTAATGAATAATGTATACTAATTACATTGTAGAAAATGGTAATAATCTGAAAGAAAACTCTCTTGTTAAAACTGAATTGAAAAGGAAAAGGAAAAGGAAAGGGAAAGAAAGAATGCTTTGTCTTCTCCCAACACAAAAGAAACTATGGATGGAAATTTAAGGGGAGAGACTCATTTATATAGACCCAAAATAAAAATAAAATAAAAACTACTTTAAAAAATAAATTTACATTTATTAGTTTATCATCCTACATTTTTTCATTATCCCATTTAATCTAACAGTAAAATTCAAAATAAACCGTTACTCTCTTTCAATTATTTTATCATATCTAACAGTAAAACAAAATCAACACAGTCCCATAATTAATAAAATCAAGTAGGCGAGAAATCAGGTTTTCATTGGTTGATTTATATACACTCAAAATAAATAAATAAATAACTAATTTTCTATTATTTTAAATCAAGTAGGTGAGAAATTAGATTTTCGAAAGAGTCATCCTGTATTGGCAAAGAGCAGGAGATGGAGAGATGGGGCAAAATTGGCACAATAGGCCATGCGGGTAAAACAATTAGCTAATTAGGTAATTGTCCAAATTATTTTGGATGAGAAATGTTACACTGCAGGATAAACTCACAAGTTTGCCCAAATAATATTTTTTTTTATTTAAATTTGTCACGTCTCATTGATGACTTTTAATAAAATATATTTTTTTATTAGAATTTGTCATATCAACGACAAATTCTAAGTCACTGCAACAAATATCATAGTTTCAAAATAAAATATATGGTACCATATTAGGCAAAATAATTAGTCCGCCTACGATATTGGGCCGAGAAATGGGGCTTTAAAATTACAGAGCGAGGAATAAGTTTAATTTCCGATATCCGAAAAAAGACTACATGACATTTTATTGGACTCCAAAAAGGAAACGCAAACGACTGGGAAGTAATAAGGTCACTATCATCAAACCAGTGTGTGTAAAGGAAAAAGAAAGCTTACCCTCTCAACGTATTTTGACAATAAATGATTTAAAGACATGTACAATTCCAATCAATTGTCGTCCTCTTACTCTTCTTCTTGGTCAACAACAATCACCTCTGACAGCGGTGAATCAAAATGGCGTAAAGATCGTATCTTACGGATAGCATCTGGAAAGAACTGTGGAAACGGATCCCTAAAGCACATGATATCAACATCCTGGAGATTAACCAATGATGAAAAAGGCATTAAAAGTGCAGATAAGCAATTTTCATAAGGTTCATTATATTGAATAACATCCAGAAAAATAACCAAGAAAAGCTAAGAACATCGAAGACAAGACTGCATCTAAGGGGATATGATTGTAGCCACCAAACAATCCCTGCTATCCGTCTTCCTCCTTTGTGTATCAACATGTTAGACAAGATCGTATCTTAAGCTAGTCTATTTCAACGAAAGTAAATAGTGATGCACTTCAAAACAGACTGGGCACAGCACACAATAGAATGCAACTTTGCAAGAAAAGAGAGTATTTACACTCTTGTCAGTGCAAAAATATGGTTAATACTCACCGCATATCCATACCGGTAAGTACTGGGTCAAGAAGACACAGGCCATAGTCCTCCTTTGACATTCTAACCACTAATCTACAAAATTAACAGGGTCCTAAGATTTACAATTTGTTTTATATAGAGAGTAAAATGTGTTCTAAAAATTGTAACAGAAGACTGGTCTTTCAGCAGAAAGAGTATTATCAGACAAAAGGTCTCTCCATTTTGTAGCTCGTGTAGACACTCATTTTCTTAAAAGATAGAACTAGCAAGAGTTTCTCTCCTAGGAGGACTCTTCCACCACCATATCTTTTAAAGCAACAACCACACCAACAAACGTGTAACAACCGAGCAAGGAGTCTAGTTGCATTAGGATTCTATTGTTAATAGGATTCTAAAAATAGTTAGTTTTTTCACTATAAATACATGTAATCATCCTCATTTGTAACACACGATTTACATACAAAATACAGAGGAAAGCACGGAAAATACAAAGACAAAGCTATTGTAAACGATTCGAAAAAGAAATAAAAGGTAGCATCTTTTTTACTTTTGATTCGGTCTCTTACATTTACGTTTTAATTATTATTATTTTATTTATTTAACTTTATTTATACGCATATTTCCCTTGTTACTCATTTTATTTAATTGTTTTGTTATTTTTTTTTTTTTTCATGTAATATTTTTTTTACATTTTATGTATTTTCTGTTTTACTTTAGTATATATTTTTAATTTTTTAAGATTATATATATATAATTTTTTTATTATCAGTTTTATTAATTTATATATATATATATTTACTATTTTTTAATTTATTTATTTTATATATATATATATTATTTTTACTTTTTTATTATTATTTTATTTATTTGTTTTATTTATATATTTTTTTCTTCTTTTTCTTCTTTTTCTTTATTTTTTTTATATTTATTTTACTTACTATTTTATCTTTTCTTTCTTTATCTTATCTTTTATTTAATTTGTTTTTTCTTCATTTTAATTTTATTTTTTATCTAACATGGTTTTTTGACCTTCTTAAGGCCACACCTTTAAAATTATCTAAGGTAAGTAATTGTGATCGTATTTTTACCTTTTAATTTTAAATTACAATTTTCTTAATTTAAGACAACCGACAAATTAATTGGTACCGAAAGGGCGGTTCAAGGGTGTTAATCATTCCTTGAATGTAACCGACTCCCGAACCCGTCACATTTATGGTAAAAACGCAAATCAGGTAAGATGGTGTCTGACCCACCTAAATTCGTTTTAAAGTGGTCGGTGGCGACTCCCAACCCAATTATTTCAAGTCGAAGCCCAATTTGGGGCCCAACCGAAAGACGGTTACGACAGCTTGGCGACTCTGCTGGGGACAGGTAAGTGAGTCAGGCTAAGGTAATTTCCAGTTGTCTTTTTAACGAAAAGGGTAAGTTTAAATTGTAAGGTAACATTTCGATCCTTATTGCTTACTTTTGATAATATTTTCGAGTAAATAGTTGTACTGACGTTTTTAATGATTTCAGATTTTTCAAAAGTGTTCATCTCAGGCTCTATACCCGAGCTCCGAACCCTTTTAAGTGGGGGTGAAAGCAACGCCTTCGTGGGAATTTATTCTCCGTATGGGCCTAGCAAGTAACCTTCGAGATTCATATACCTTATGTCTTCGTGTGAATTTATTCTCCGTAAGGACATAAGGGAATGTATCCTCTTGAGTTTAACTTAGTCCACACAAGCTTGTGATGGGTTTAGGACTAAGGGTCTGGCAAACCCAAGGGGGCACCGGGAAGGAGAACTTGGGTACCGTTTTTTAGAACCTAAACCGGGAGATTACAGGGAATTAGAGCCCACCCCAAAACCTCATTCCAAACCCTATGCTGCTTTGTTTCATGCTTTACTTTCTGTTCAAAGCATGCGAACTAGACAAATATGCGGTTAGGATTTGTGTGGAGTTAGCATGCGGGATAAAGATCATGTCCGGGTATGTGGGGTAGGATTTTTTGTTTTTATTATTGTTTTGATTTACCTCACTAACTCTATTTTACTTTTGTTCACTTTTATTTTGTTTTCATCATTTGCATCATTTAAAAGAGGTGTTGATCCACCAAAAATGTGTTTGTTAAAACATGAATGATCTGCATTAATGGACAAAGGGGTTGTAATACAAGAGGTGAAAAACGCAGGGGTCCGGCTATGGTCAGAAAAGACTCAGAAAGAAAATGAGGATAATCTGGAAGACAACTATGTGTCACATTCGATCAAGAAGACATGGTGCCCATAATCAAATAGATCAAAAGTCAACTTTTCAAAAATGGGTTGACAAAGGTGGCAGGGGCAAGACGAGAAAAAGGTTACTAACCTCGAGAGTCCCTTCAAAGACAACAAGAACAAGATGACAAAACAATAGCTGAATTGGAAGTCATTGTCGACAAATTCAATGAACTTCAGATAATCCCTTTGATGGAGGATTTCAATGATGTTTCCGTTATAGAACAAGTTCAGCAAAGGATAAAAGACAGAGATGCAGTCATTCGATACTTCTAGGAACAAGTACAAAAAACAACTCGTCACTTGCACGATTTAGCCAGAGAAGCCAGAGCGGTTCGGCAGGGTATTCGACCGGTGATAGACGAAGGCAGAAGACTAGTCAACTTGTTTTAGGGTCTAGAGGATTTAGTCTGGATGTACCTTTAAATATGTTTATTGTCTCTTAAAAGATAAAACACTTTTGTCCCAATAAAGATTATTTATAATAACAGACATGTTTTTGGATCAATGCCTCAAACATTTCATGCATTTTGCATCTACATTTCATTTTTTAAGCATTTTCATAAACATGAAATTTCTTCATGGAGAATTCGATGAAGTGGTTTTAACCACATGGAAGCAAGATTGTAACATCAAAAGAAAAAAACTGAAATCACAATGAATGAGCCCGATCAGCTGGTTATACGACTAAGCCTGCCAGGATGATCTGAGAAAAGAGTCCGCATATCCTAAGGGCTACGATGTTGAAGCTGTTTGCAGTTGCCACATAGGATGCTCCATATATTCCTCTGAGAACTATAAGGCGCTGAAGCGCGAGATCCAAAACCTGATGGATTCAGGGGCATGGACAGCCGAAGAAGGGGACATTGCATATATCATTTGCACTTAAATGATTATTTTGTTTGAACACGTCTTTGATCTTTCATGTTTGCTTAATCTTTTAAACGATTGAATTTATGCTACTTTCTAAGGTGGAGAAATTGAACAAATTTTAATCTTTAGTTCTTCGAATATAAAATGAATTAAGGATTATTTTAATTCTTCAAGAATTATAGATTTTTGACATATGGCAAGATTAGACCTTTCTTATCCTGTCTTAAACCCCAAAATAAAATACCTTGATTCTTTACCCAAAATAATTCATGGTCATTACCAAAAAGACCAAATTTTGACATTACCTCCCTTTGAAACTTTTGAACATTACCTTTATCTTTTGATACACACATACCTTTCTTTGAGTCAAATAAAGTCACACCATTGTCTTTTTAGACTCAAAATTGACATTTTTATGCCATTAAAACTCAAGGCATTGAGTTGTTCATTTGAACATGAGCCTTCTTTTAAGACACAACTTGGGGCATCTCGCAATAAGCATGAAAATTGAGACATGTTGGGGGCAAGAAGCAGAAAGAAGAATTCACTCGGAATAATTCTACCATGCATTAATTGCATTGTTTTCATGTGAATAAAAATAATCCTGAAAATCTATCCCCTTGGGGATACCTCTTCTGTGAGGACTTCCATGTATGAAATGATGAACGACTTTCTTTCTACATCCCTTTACAACAGAAGAAAATATATATCCCTTGTGTCCCCTTTTGAGCCTATAGTATTTTTCTTCTGATTCAACCCTAACCAAGGATCACCCTCCACACTGGGGGGCAAGGTGGAGAAAATCTGCTCGCATGAGTGAAGACATTAATTCAGATGAGGTACCAAAAGGTGAACCAAATGCCAAGTACAAAGATTCAATCAGAAAAAAAAAGAAAAAAAAGAAAAAAGCAAAGAGAAAATAAAAAATAAAAAAAGGAAAATTGAAGAAAAAAGAAGACAAGATGCATATGCAAAGATTTTCTCGATTCAAACGACGCATCGAGATTTAAACTATGAGATTGATCAAGCACAATCATTTCCGAATCATTGAACCACTTCACTCGAAGATCATAGAGCATCAAATGATATTGATAAAGAACAATCATTTCTGAATTACTGCATCGCTCTACTCGTAGATCACGGAGCATCAAGAGAGAGACACATACGAGCAGATTCAAATTGAGCAAGATATGATCGAAGACATCAGAATGAATTGATCCTTGGTTCAATCACCCTTAAACACTTATTTGGGCCTTTTATCCCTTTCTTTTATAACCATGAATCATGACCTACGTTACATGCCTTAAAAGTCCCTTCTAATCATACATGGATTTCTGAACAGAAGAGACTATCTTCAGATTTCATACCGCCCATCAGGATTAATCTTTATTTGCAAAAAATAGTGTAATTAATATATGATAGAGAAAAATAACAAAGGGGGTTCAAGACGTAAATTACTGAATGACGTCTTGAAATCAAAGGAGGATTCGAGTTGAAACCTGAAAAGGCAACTCGAATACAAAAATAGGGCAGATGAGGAGATAGCACAAATTCCTTGATAAGGCATCGCACAATCCGAGCGTGACTATGAAAGTTGGGAATCGGAGAATACTTCCAATAGAGGAGCATGCAAGATACCCCATCAAACATTTGAGTATCAAATAAACCAAAATGCCAAACCTTTGACCAAACACAATAACCTGAGACATTTTTATCCTTTCCTTACTTAACCATTTCCCAAAAATAGATTTGATATTGGCACGTCCCAAACGGCTATAATTTATTGAAGGATTAACAATGTAATTAATTCTTTGATATCCAATGAACTCTAGTTTTATGATTTGTCTCAATTATAAAACAGTGAAAGGGGCAATATTTTCAAAAAATTTGATTAAACATTTTTCGAAACTCTTTTTTTTGATATTTTCAGAACTTTGAAAAGAAAAAAGAAAGAAAAACATTTTTTTTCAAAACAAGACAATCTCTCTAGAGTGGATCTTGGTAAATGACATGTGGCTCTCAAACACAAAACTCATGCTTAGAATCAATGCTGAAGCAAGAAATCAGGAACAATAAGGGCATCTTTGAAGATTCAACATCAAATGTTGGGGCATTTTTTTAGATTTAACATCAAATGTTGGGGCATTTTTTGAGATTCAACATCGAATATTGGGGCATCTTTGGGAATTCAACATCCTGATGCAAATTATCAAACCTTTTGAAGGTATTTTCTCCATATGCAGGAACAAGCACACAAAGCACGAGACTCCATCCAAGGGATAAAACTGAACTAATTCATGTTATATGCATCTTAGACATACTTAAGAGCATCACATTTATCATTTTTTGTATACATAAGTTTTTGCAGCTTTTAGAGTCAAATTTCAACTTCAAGATGAAGGATGCTCGATTCAAAAGCACATGGTGGTTGCTCTACCTCACAGCAAAGGGGCGACTGTCTGACAACAAAATAACTTTCCAGTTTCAGTCAGAGTTAATTTCAACTTCACGGCAAAGGATATTGAACTCAAAGCGATACAATTCGCTCGAGAGTATATTTAAACTTCACGACGAAAGATATCTAGCTCGAAGCCAAACTTCACAATATAGGGGTCATCCACGGTTTCGACTTCACGGCGAAGGGAATCGTGTCAACCCGCAACATACAATACTTGGATTTCAACTTCATAACGAAGGATATCCAAGTCAAGGCTCAACTTCACGACGAAAGGGCCACCTGCGATTTCAACTCCACGACGGAGGATATCGTGCCACTCGAGACAACACAAGTTCAACTCCACAACGAAGGGACGACTGGTTGTTAACAAACAATTTCCCAATTTCAGAGCCAATTTCAACTTCACATCGAAGGATATTGGACTCGAGACAACACAAGTTCAACTTCACAACGAAGGGACAATTGGTTGTCAAGAAACAATTTCCCAATTTCGGAGCCAATTTCAACTTCACAGCGAATGATATTGGACTCGAGACAGCACAAGCTCAACTTCACAGCGAAGGGGCGGCTGACTGTCAACAAATAATTTCTTAGTTCCAGAGCCAATTTTAACTTCACGGTGGAGGATATTGGACTCGGAACAATACAACTTACTTGGATTTCAACTTCACGATGAAGGATATCCAATTCCAAGGCTCAACTTCACAATGAAGGGGTCATCCACGGTTTCAACTTCACGACAAAGGGAATCGTTCTCACCATTGTCTCTCTTGAGACAATTTCCAAGTTTCCCTTGAAATAAAATATTTGAATCTTTTTTTCATTGAAACTAATTTCGTCTCCCCCGAGACATTTTCGTTTGGAACTAAATTTTGTCTCCCTTGAGACAGTTTTTCTTGAAACATAAACATTGAAAACATTTCCCTTGAAATGAATTTTATCTCGATTGAGATAGTTTCCCTTGAAACCAAATTTTGTCTCCCTTGAAACATAAACATTGAAAACATTTCCCTTGAAATAAATTTTATCTCGCTTGGGGTAGTTTCCCTTGAAACAAAATTTTGTCTCCCTTGAGACAGTTTCTCTTGAAACATAAACATTGAAAACATTTCATTTGAAATTAATTTTGTCTCTCTTGAGATAGTTTCACTTTAAATAAAATTTTGTCTCCCTTTAGATAGTTTCTCTTGAAACATAAACCTTGAAAACATTCCCCTTGAAACACAAAATATTTAAATCAATTCCCCTTAAAATGAGTTTTGAGACAATTTCCCTTGAAACAAAATCTTGTCTCTCTTGAGACAGTTTCCCTTGAAACAAATTTTGTCTCTCTTGAGACAGTTTCCCTTGAAACAAAATCTTTGAATATATTTTCCTTGAAACAAATTTCGTCTCCCTTGAGACAGTTTCTTTTGAAACAAATTTTGTCCCTCTTGAGACAGTTTCTCTTGAAATACAAAAAAACCCTCGAAATTGTTTCTCTTGAAACACACACACAAAAAACCTTTGAAAATGTTTCTCTTGAAACACCAAACGCTCGAGTTCGATTACACTCAGCTTCGAGGGCACATCATTTACAACATAACTCAAGGCTAGAAGGGTTATCTGTCACCAAAAGACCTTCGAGTTCGACTATGCTCAGCTCTAAGGCACATCATTTACAGTATAACTCAAGGCAAGAAGGGCTATCTGTCAATAAAATTGTTGAGTTCGATTCTATTAAGCTCGATGACACCTCAATCACACTATTGTCCGGCTACAATCGAGGTTTTTCAAGCCGAGAAGAAGGTCTGGGTTAGTCGTGCCTTAGTAGCAAGAAGCCTTTTTTCCATCAGAATGTCTTAAGTCGAGAAAAGCTATCTGTCAGCGAAGACTTTTCGAGTTCGATTTCATTTAGCTCGAGGGCATATCAACCACATTATGGAGTCAAGAGATTACTTTCCAGTCGAATTTTTAGCCAATGTCTTTAAACCGAGAAGAAGACCATAGTGGACTACAACAAGAAGCCACATTCTGATTCAAATCATTTCAAGATAGACTCGACTTCGCGACGGAGGAGCCATCCGCAATTCAATTCGACAAGGAGTTATTCTTCAACTCCACTGAACGAAAATTTATCTTTTTATCTTTGTCCTATTTTTCGTTCCACGAAAAAGGACAAAGAGGGGCAGCTGTAGACACCTATTTTCTTAAAAGATAGAACTAGCAAGAGTTTCTCTCCTAGGAGGACTCTTCCACCACCATATCTTTTAAAGCAACAACCACACCAACAAACGTGCAACAATCGAGCAAGGAGTCTAGTTGCATTAGGATTCTATTGTTAATAGGATTCTAAAAATAGTTAGTTTTTTTTCACTATAAATACATGTAATCCTCTCCATTTGTAACACACGATTTACATACAAAATACAGAGGAAAGCACGAAAAATATAAAGGCAAAACTATTGTAAACGATTCGAAAAGGAAATAAAAGGTAACATCTTTTTTACTTTTGATTCGTTCTCTTACATTTACATTTTAATTATTATTATTTTATTTATTTAACTTTATTTATACGCACATTTCCCTTGTTACTCATTTTATTTAATTGTTTTGTTATTTTCTTTTATTTTTTTTACATTTTATGCATTTTCTTTTTTACTTTAGTATATATTTTTAATTTTTTTAAATTATATACATATTATTTTTTATTATCAGTTTTATTAATTTATATATATATATATATATTTTAATTTTTTATTATATATATATATATATTATTTTTACTTTTTTATTATTATTATTATTTATTTGTTTTATTTATATATGTTTTTCTTTATTTTTTTATATTTATTTTACTTACTATTTTATCTTTGTTTTCTTTATCTTATCTTTTATTTAATTTGTATTTTCTTCATTTTAATTAATTAATTTATTTATTTCTTACATTTTTATCTAACATGATTTTTTGACATTCTTAAGGTCACACCTTTAAAACTATCTATGGTAAGTATTTGTGATCGTATTTTTACCTTTTTAATTTTAAATTACAATTTTCTTAATTTAAGACAATCGGCAAATTAATTGGTACCGAAAGGGCGGTTTAAGGGTGCTAATCTTTCCTTGACCGTAACCGACTCCCGAACCCGACACATTTCTGGTAAAAACGCAGATCAGGTAAGATGGTGTCCGACCCACCTAAATTCGTTTTAAAGTGGTCGGTGGCGACTCCCAATCCAATTATTTCAAGTCGAAGCCCAATTCGGGGCCCAACCGAAAGACGATTACGACAGCTCGAAAGGAAACTATAGGAAGTTCTGATATATTATTTATGGCTCTAGGAGCTTCCAAATCTATTATTTTGATTTCCTGCGGTGAATAAGGCTGCAACATTGCCCACAAGCTCATATGATGTGCATCCCTTAGCAAAACAGGTTTTCTTCTGACTATTTGAACAGCAAAAGCTTCTAATACTGCTTAAGCCACTCAACGAATTCTAAAAGCAGTTTGTTTTCAAAAACTGAATCTAGCTTCTTGCATTCATTGACTATGTTTTAGAAAAGATAATATGCATCACCATAACAATGAATCTTTTGGTAAGATATCAAGCTACACAAGTAGGAAAGATCATCAATTCTAAAACAAAAACAATCATGTCAACCACAAACTGATGACATTAAATTTCCAAAATAGAGAAAAGAAAATACCGTGAAAACAAAACTATAACCCAAGTCAAGAACAGAACGCAGGAAATCAATCCTTCTCCACATCATCTTCAAGTAGTTAGGGGTCATAAAGTATGCTTCCTGTTGAAAATCAACATCCTCAGTGACAAGAGAAAAACAATGCTTATGTACAACTTGACAACAATTATATGCCTTTTCATCCAAGACAATAATCTCCAAATGGTTCAAAAGCCAATGCGTGCCCTCTCCAAGCATAAAACTCTTGAGGAAAAGGTCAACAACCGAATTGGTACTTGCCCAGGCATCATTCAACGTTGTTAAAATAACAGTCTTATTCCCCGTAGAAGCATTCCTCAAAGTTTCTTCAAGACGTTTCATTGGGTCCTGCTTGGTAAACAACTTTATATGTGAAAAATATTCAGGGATATTCCTGGGATTGCTTTTTCAGCTAAACACCGTAGTTACATCTCATCATCCATTAAGGGTATCTTTAACCTTAACTTTAGCACATATGAAATTTGTTAAATCAATAAAAGCTTAGTTTTTGAAGCCGTTTGAGTATTCACTACAGAGCACCAAACACAAATATACGAATTAAGTATCAATATCTAAAAATCGATTATCTAAAATGAATTACATAAAAGAAGAATCTACATGCCACCAAGCCCACATAAACTTCTAAGAACTTTCATTTCCAGAAAATTATAACAGAATCCTTAGTCTATACTAAGCACTAGTTCTACCAATCAAACTAGGAATACTTTAAAATGAATAAGCCAACTGGGTTCTTAATTTTAAACCAATGTGCTGAATAGTTTAATACTCCCAAGTAACCGTTTTTCCAAAAGGAAATTATGCATGCAATAAAAATAGAAAGAAAAAGGAGAAGAGAACAAACCGGAGAAGGAACGTAATTGAGATAGGAAGGGAAAATGCGAACGAAAGTGGAAGCGGAGGGGAAACGTAGGAAGCGGACGGAATCAGTAACAGTGTAAAGCATCAAAACGGAAAGAGTGAGGAGCGTGAAAAGGAAAGCAGCTCGGAGGATGAGCATCGAAGCTTTGGGGAGAGGCATACCGGCGGCGGCAGAAGAGGAGTCACGGGTAGGAAGAAGACGGGGAGAGCGAGCTGAAACCGCCGTAGCCGTCGTCTGTGAAACCTTGGTAATGCTCGCGGGGACGCCATCAACAGAAAACGACCCTGATTTCATACTTTTCTATTTTAGTTGTGTTGGCTGAATGAATCAGAATTTCGATTCTGAGCTGATGCTTAAATGAATCGAGAGGAGAGAAAAACGTGAAACTTGGCCGAGTGGGGCCTCATCCGCACCGCTTCCCCCAGTTAACATTCCTTTTTTATTTTATTTTATTTCTAAATGTAATCTCAGTTATCATTATATTATGTCTGCATTAATATTCTATTCACTACTAAACACACTTATTATTTTATAGGGTAAACTATGTGTTTAGTACCTGAGTCTGCAGTTACATCTGCACTTTGTTTCTTTCTAGTTTTCTTGGAAACAGGTTTATGGTATTGTCACATAATGGAGAGTTTGTACACTGTTAGTGTCGATGTTAATGCTTGTTAATTGTTACAACATTTTTCCGGTTTGCTGGTCCTTCAACGGTGATACCTCTGGAAGTTCATGAAGCTCCGGTGCAAATGCTGATACTAAGACGAGGAAAATATATACAAAAGAAATTGATCAAAATACTGAGGGTAGTTTTCAGGCCTAAAAAACTGGGAGTCCAACAATCAGTTCAATTTTGTTTAGGCACTGGAATTCTAAATTTATTAATAGTACCTCATTGTGGTAGGTGGAACCATCTCTGCATGCACTGATAAAAGTGAAGCACTAGAGTTTCCTCTTTTACTAGTTAAGCTAACAAGGACTGGTTTGCTTCTGCTTACCATGTGAAACAAATTTTATAACTTAAAATCAAGAATCCTTTTCCCTTCTCGTAGGCCTAGTTTCTATGCATTATATTCAAAGATATGATCATATAAAGATACATAAATTTTAAACCAAAATCTGGATCAGCTCCAAAACCTTAAAAGGGATTGAGAGGGTGGTTGAAACAATCACCCCTAAAAATTTCAAATTATCATATATTTTAAATATTTTTTTATTGATAATACATTTTCGCTTATAGAATTTTATAAATCCGTTCTCTCTAAGATTTTAAAAGTTCACCTTAAATATAAAATCTTGTGTCGGTCATTGGAGAATTAAAATTACTTGTCACAAGTAGCAATGGATAGATCTAAGTTGAGACTACATGGGGTGGAGCAGTCTTTATAATTAGAGGACAATGAGAATCCCTTGCTGCTGCTCATCTCACTCGTGCAACATGTATTACTTCTCTGCGACGAAGGCTGATGTTGCAGTGACAGTGACAACGATAGTTCGAATGCACTGTCTTCTTCCTCTTCATCGTCTAGAATGCGTGATCTCTTTACGTTTCGTCCAACATGTTTACGGTCTTATTCCTCTGCATGTTGCTTTTCTTCTACTTTGCCAACCTGAGATATTAACATCAAGTGTAAGTATCCTAGTAGAGACCACAGTCCATGCACGGTTGGGTAAATTTTGACTGAATGTGGAAACATTTTCTCGTTAACAGTAAAATCTGGGGTGAAATATATATAGGTACGTTAGTGAAAACAAATTTTGGATCGTTGACTATTGATAGTTTAACCTTTTTTTTATTTGGACGGAGAGTCAAGATCATTATTTCTCTACATGAGAGATGGATTCACAAAAAGAGAGTATGAGTACGGAAAAGGTGATACTCCCCAGTGTGGCTGAGGGATATTTATAATAATCAGTTGGTGGTGTCATTACTCGTAAGTCGACGAAACTAGATAGATATGATAATAAAATCTTAAATTTTGCTTTGGTAGACCATGTAGATATGTACGAGACCATTGGCTATATATTGTAGACAGCCCTATAGGTAGATTAGAGGTTATGATGTTCTCAAGTCCAGGGGGTAAGGATCTTTTGGAGGTTCCAGTAAGCGGAAGGATTTATTCGGATGTCTTAACTAACAGAAAGCTAATTTTTCAGAGGGAACTCCGGAGGTATAACAAGATAGAAGAATTAAGAACTTTAGTTGAATTAGGAGAAATGCTACAGCAGAGTCAGATAGAACTGGAAGGGAAGGAAGGGAAGCGTGAAATTCAATAATGGGTAGTCCTTCAGCTCTAAAAAAAGCAAATGTCTGGTCCAATGCAATAAAGGTTGATTTTGAACCTCCATTCTTACCAACCCCCAAGAGGGTCCCCTACTCATTAGAGTCACAACGGACCACAGAATGTAAGAATAATTTCTTCATGGGCAGTGGTCCTATCCCCAATCCAATATTTAAAGCAAAATCCAAGAATCTTAAGTTTAATTCAATTGATTTATATATAATCACTTATGCAATCCAGTTTTTCCTTTTTTCCTCATTCCTACAGAACATTCTTTCTTTAGACTTTAAGATGCAGAACATTACATTCATACATCACTGACAAGAAAGAAAAGAAACCAGAAAAGGGCAAAAAGGAAAAAAAAAAGTTAAATTTCGTTTATTTAACTGAAAACGTTTTTCGAAAAATGTTTTCCGTAAAATGAATTACATTTTCTGAAAAACGTTTTACGATGTTTAAAAGATGTTGTTTAAACCTTTTTTTCACTAGTTAATGAATTTTTTTAAAATTATTTATTATAAATATTAAATACAATAAATAATATTATTTATCATAAAACTTAATATTATTATTTTTAAAATATTAAAATAATTTATTTATTATTAAAATATTAATTTTATTAATAAAAATATTAATATTGGTATATTTTATTGAAATAAAAATATTATAAATTATATTAATTATTTATTAAAGTAATAGTGTTATATTATATTTAAAAAAATATTAATTAGTATATTTTAAATATCTTTATTAAAATATTATTATATTAATATTAAATATATAAATAATATTATTCATTATTAATAATTTAATAATATTATTTTTATGAAATTAATAAATAATATAAATTTTATTAATAATTTATTATATATTATTAAAAATAAAAATATAATATCTTATATTATTATAATATAATTGATTATTTTATTATAATTTTAAAAATATAATATTATATTATTATAAATATTAATAAATATATTTTAAATATTTTAATAATTAATATTTTGATTAAAATGATATTAAAATATTTTATAAATTTTAAATTTATAAAATAAAATTATTTTGAGTATTTATTCTTTGAAGTAAAAAGTTCGAAAAATGACTTACGGAAAATCAGGCCGTAAGTCATTTTTCAAAAAACACAAAGGAAATTTTGTTGACCAGAAAAATATTTTACGTTGACCAACCAGTTTTCCTCCAATCAAACACTGGAAAATGAAGAAAACATTTTCCGGAAAACGTTTTACGTGAAACAAACGTACCTTAATAGAGACAATTTTTCAATCCCCTTGATGCTTGAATGTCCAAAGTTCTTTTGCATCATCTTAACGTGAGGGGCAAAAAGAAAAAAAGGGTTGGGGTTTTCAATAAACTGGTGTGGAAGTGAAAACACTATGTAATTAGACTTGTTGCAAAGGAAAATAGGGTTTGAGCTGAGAAGAAGACAATTATATCCCTAAAGTTGTTTAATTTCGCACCCTCATTTCTGTAGGTTGAACAAATCAACCTTCCATTTAGCAGGTTGAACTTTAAAAAAGTTTGACAGCAAAACCAACATTACACTCAAAGATGGCAACAAAGACAAATATCAATGATATATATATATATATATATATATATATATATATATATATATATAGAGAGAGAGAGAGAGAGAGAGAGAAATACAAGTTTTGGTAGGGTACCTTATGGTAATTAGGCTCTTCACTTCTTCTACAAAATATCTGAAAGAGTTGAAATTGCAAAGATCAAATGGTAGCTGAGAGAAGATGTAGATTGACCCTGCTTCTGATTAGACCCATTACCTTCCTTTATTCCCATGGCGTGCCGATAATAATCAAAAGTGCGCACGTTAGCAAGACTAACGGATCCTGAGTTTCTTGTCCCATCGCCGGCGTTTCAATCCGATCATCAGTGTGATTTCATCAATCTTCCTTTATTTTCTCTTTTATCAACGTGCTATGGATTGGCGAAAACTCTTTGGGTGTCAAGCTGGCCACGAACTCACATATTTTCCCCCAAAATTGAGAGATAAAACCCTAATTGTTCAACCTCCCCTTGAGGTCCTCGAGGTTGGTACTGCTGAATGGAAGTCTTCTCTGGTGGGTCAGTTCTTAGGGGCTTCTCCTAATTTCATCTCTCTTCAACGAGCAATTGATAAACTCTGGAACCAAGGTGCTCGTGTTCAGGTAAGCCTCGTTGGGAATAATATTTATATTTTCTCCTTCAATTCTGATGCTGCTAGGGATTGGGTTCTTGAGAATGGCCCGTGGAACATTTTCAATAAACATTTAATTCTTCGAAAGTGGGAACCCAACTTACAGAGACTGAACTTTGACCTTTCTAGATTGCCTTTATGTGTTCACTTGTATAATGTCCCATTAGAATTGTGTTCAAGGGAAGGCCTTAGCTATATAGTCAATGCTCTAGGAGTTCCATTAACAATGGACTCAATTACTGCTTCTAAATCTAGGCTAGAATATGATAAGGTTTGTATTGAGGTAGGAGCTAAGGAAAACTTACCTGAAACAATTGAAGTGATTCTTACTAATGGCCAAACTACCACAATCTATGTTGAAGTTCCTTGGTACCCTAACAGATGTAGGAAATGTGGTACTTTCGACCATTCTGATAAAGAATGTATTATCAAAAATAATTCAGCTCCTTCAAATCCTAAAATCTGGAGGAAAAAGGCTACTCTTAATAATAATTCTGATAAAAAACTAGAAAGATCAGAAACCTTGCAAGACTCTCTGCATGAATCTTCTTCCTCAAAGGATAGAGATGTTTCTATTGATATTGATCCAAGAACAGAACCATAAAAAATTTCTTCTATCAAAAAAGATCAATCTTCTAATGATGAATCCCCTAAATCTCATTCTAATCTTTCAAATAAGGGAAACAATCCCAAGTCCCAAACTCTTCCTCTCGGTGATGATGTAGTTAAAGATGACTCTGCTCATGCTCAAGAATCTGCTCTTAAATTCAATGAAACTACTCCAAAACCTAAAA